TTCGGGCAAGTCAATTTCTATACGCTCAATTGGGATTAGGGTGAGATCGTCTATTGAATGGTCGTCGAGGTTGAAATGATTAGAAACAGGCTTGTCTTTCTTTAATTTGATGTCTGACCTATGAGCATTAAAGCGAGTTCGTAAATTATTCTTAGTTTCTCCTACATATTGTTTGGGGCATTTCTTGCATGAAATTAAGTATATTACATTCGAATGTTCACATGTTAGATGTTCCTGGATCGGGTACCTTTTATTCGTAGAGTTGCTTACAAAATAATGAGTTTCTGATATAAAGGGACATGTTTTGCATCTACTGGACAAACATGGAGCACTTCTTAAACCTGGAGGTACTTCGGCATAAAGTCTGTTTTTAGCTGCTATCTGTGCTAAGGTGGAATTTTTTATGTTTCGTAAAAATCGTTTAGAGTACCCACGCTCTTTCAGTTTTGAGAAAACAATCGTACAGGCTTGGTTGAAATCAGAAGATCTTGTACAAATTCGATGAAATCGTAAAACTTGTGACTTAATTATACCAGAAAAGGTATAATTCAAGAGAGTAAAATCTGGACAGCCTTCTATGGCCTTTAAGATGCACACTCATATATGACAAACTTCAGAGTGGTTGTGACGAAATTTCGGTTTGTATCCTGGATGAGCATCTGGAATTATAAAAATTGCTAAAAGAACTACTCACCTCTGTTTCAGGTGTTTGTATGAATTGAAAATTCTGTAATAAAGTTACAATAGCTATCTTAGTTACCAGGTTGGCTAGCCGTATCCCTACACAGTTTCTAGGTCCGGCACCGAACGGCATATAAGCATATGGATTGATAGTATGCTTATTTTCCGGAGAAAATCTGAAATGGAAAATCAAATATTGGACCCACTTGCCATTTGATTTGTTCAGTTATCAGTTCCTAAGAGCACTAGGGGTAGTTGTAATCGTGTTCCACAATGTTTCGCACATGTGCCTATGAGTTTCCAAAGAGCTGTTTCATTTTAAATCTCAACCTCGAAATTTGTCCATATCACTCTGACCTCTAGTAGTATTTCCAGTCTGGAGAGACTGGCGCCACTACTCGCACATAGAGCATACATTATCTGACCTTTCAGGATTGAAGTCTTCAGGATCAATCCAGTATTCAGGATCTCTGTGTAAAGTATACAGTGGAATCATTATGACCATAGATTTAGGTATAAACAACCCTTTAACAGTGGTATCACAATTAGCACGTCTGTTTAATCTGGAATGGAATCGGGTCAAGGATTCAGGAAAAAATACGAGATTTTTAGTGCTTTTATATATTTACGTTTTTGTCAATCAATTTGAAGGACGTTAGATGGAATATGACTAAAATTCCAATGAACAATCTGCATTTCTCTGTGCTTGAACCTAGAAAATGCAGAACGACGGAGGGCAATCATTCAAAATGTCAAGCTATTACAAACTTCGTACTTAAACATTGACTGCAATAGAGTTACCTTTTTTGTTAAAAGGAAGTTTGTAAATGATGCGATTAGATTGGATCGTACGCGTGTGAATACAGCCATTCAGAGGCATCGACAGAAAGTATGTGAGCAGAAAGTCATAATGTTTGCAGCCTTTCTGTCGAGGGCCCCGATTGGCTGTAATTGCTGGCGCAATATTCAATCAAACCGCAGCATTCCGTCATACAAGTATATTTGCTATTGCAGTATAAGTACGAAGTTCGTAAGAATTTGATATTATGAAGGATCCGTAACACCCATTAGTGAGGGGCGAAGGAAGCACTTAGTTATTCAACATCACCCTATTCCGGAATAGGTGTTCTACGTATCATAAGACGGTGCCCCAGCGCAAACTCCTGACACTGCATACAATAGCTAACGTTTGGAGCAATTCACATTATTGTATCTAACCTTGTGGCTGGTGGATAAAGTCGTAATGTTTCTGATATAATCATATCCAGATATTCCAATTCTTTCACGTTGTCATAATTTGGTTTTCTCTGCAAGAAAACAAGGAATTACTAGCTTTCAAAAATAATACCTTAACGTTTGTTTGACCTTGACCTTCATCTTGAATTATAGAATCCTCATATCAATTAAATGATCAACGATTTTAAGGTCTTACCTCTCCTAATTTCGATTGGATTTCTCTAAAGGCACGTTCTTGAACCTCAGGGTGAATAGCTATACAGTGTAGAGTGAAGGCGATGGTCAGGGACGTGGTATCGAACCCAGCCATTATGAAAAATAAACTGTTTGCTAGAACTTCATCTTTTGTCAACCCTCGGCCACTATTCTCAGAATTTTCTTTTTGAGCATTCATCATTAATTGCAGGAAATCTCTTCTTGTCTGAAAACAACAAGTTAGATAGTCAGTTATTGCCACACAAAGATTGCTGGGGATTCGACAAAGTTTCTGATATGGTTTATACAAAACACAAATGAAATTAAATGCACAGGACAGCGGCATGGGCCTACTATGTTTTCATTTCAAACTGTGGTCGAATCTTTAACGTGCGCAGCCTTAACACATGGGAACATGGTTTAGTGTTCCATCCGAACGACTAGCAAGACGCATTACTAGCAAAGAGATATTATCTCAGCCCATGCTAGGATTGAACCCCAGACCTTTAGGTTGATGAGCAAACGCCCGACTCACTGAGCCACGGCGATGTCCGGTTTAAGACTCAAAGGGTCCTGTGCAGCCTATTAGTGTGTGTCTTAAGTATCAAAGCCCGGACGTTATGTCAATGATAAACCGAATAACTCATTTATCTATCTACATCGATTAAAGTCCAAGTTGACAACCGCAAACGAAGGATGTATGAAGTGTTTCGTGAAGTATATTGCGTCGTTGAAAAACTCGACCCCGACTGCTACTCAGATCTCACTGGTTATGCAGATTGAACCTATTAAATTTCACTCACCGATGAGTCAGCTTTTCTATCGTCTAACGCTTGGTTAACAACATTAATAAAATATTCAGCACTATCTTTAGGTATATGACCAATATTCAAATAATCCAAAATATCAGTCAGAAATGGAAACATCACTGAAAAGAAAAAGAAAAGCGAATTTTGAATTAGCTGAAGCTTAAACTGTAATGCTCTTCAAATCCAATGATTCCTCGTCGGATTCTTTCTCTTTGTCAAATTACAATCAAGAAGCCTTTGTCAGAAGGGACCAAACAATGAAATTTTGTTCCACTGTGACGATGATATAAATTCCCTTTGTAGTATTGCACTCTTAAGCTCGTCTTCTTCTACAGAAATCCAGTGTACCAAGGAAACACGATGACAAAAAGGAGTTTCATGGACGCATCCATAATATGTTTCTTTGTGTGTCTGAAATAAATGACTAACAAAATGTCTACTTACTACACAAAACGATTATGTTAAGAGAAAAACTGAAGTTGAGAGTACGTTTAGCATTCTTGAAAAATGAATTGTCGGGGTTATTATGACTGTCTATATCTAAACCAAATGATGTTGCAGCAATCACATCCATAGTATAACTCTGACACAATCTACAAAAAATAAACAATAATTTAATTACTACAGGCATCAATGATCAAGTGCAACTGCATCTCTAGGCATTATCTGATTATCAAAGATTTAAAGAGATTCATGCAACTCTACTTAAACTAAACTTTTTATGACGTCACTGTCGCAAAAGTTGCAAATAATATCTAACGATTGCGTCATGGGAAAGTGCAAGAACCACAGACATCTGACTGAAAATTGGAATGGTGCAAAACGATTCTGTCAGTGACTCCAACACTGAAAAAGTTTACATAGTATATGGCATAAACTGTAATGAATCAGAATATTCTATGATTAGGGAATCTATCTTATGGTAGCCTACATTTCAAGATATCTTTTTGATTGATTAAAGTGTGAAGATACCAAAGGGAAATTGTTAATAATGTATCATGTATATGAATATAGGCACAGGCTTTAGTGGTACACTCAGTTGGATAACTCAGCAAATAGTATAGGTTAAGAGATGCGATCTCGACTCTTGTCGTATAGATGGAGATATATTTTAATAATAATCGTACTTACTCATCCAGTTTGATAGCCTTATCAGGATCTATTTTAGATGCTAACTTCTTTACCAATCTATCACAACATAAATTAATACTGGAACACATCTACAAAAACACATCGAGCATAGACGTTGTCGTTCGGTTAACCATGCAAAGCGTTTATTAAGCAACATATTGTTTAAAGCAGATTTGCAACCCGAATCCAAAGAAACATTTTGCAAAACAAACAAAATTGGGGCGGTACATTATTCATACCCTGGTTTTTTGGTTGCACTTTTTTACGATCGATCATATTTTTCTAGCGGTGAGCATGCAAGCGTTACCTTTGCGTAACCATAGTAATTACAGACTTACCTCTCTCATTTTAGCTGAGCTAAAAGTCGGGGTAATAATACTTCTCATATATTTCCATTCTTCATTCTCCACATTTGATACAGCTTTCTTCATCATATTTACACTTGGAACAAATCTCTAAAATATTCAAATCGAAGAAAGTCGATCTAAATCTAAGAATGTTCGATCTAAATCTAAGAATCGTCGATCTAAATCTAAGAATCGTCGATCTAAATCTAAGTATGCTCAATCTAAATCTAAGAATGTTCGATCTAAATCTAAGAATGTTCGATCTAAATCGTAAAATGTTCGATCTAAATCTAAGAATGTTCGATCTAAATATAAGAATGTTCGATCTAAATCTAAGAATGTTCGATCTATATCTAAGAATGTTCGATCTAAATCTAAGAATGTTCAATCTAATTCAAAGAATGTTCGATCTAAATCGTAGATTGGTCGATCTAAATCTAAGAATGGTCGATCTAAATCTAAGAATGTTCGATCTAAATCTAAGAATGGTCGATCTAAATCTAAGAATGTTCGATCTAAATCTAAGAATGTTCAATCTAATTCGAAGAATTTTTCTTTGTAACAATGTAATAATATTGATTTGATATTCTTCCAAAGCCATAAAATGTCGGATTTAAGCCATTTATTATCAAAATTCCCCGTCCCCTGAGCCTCGAAAAAACTTTGGCAATGGGCCCTCCAAATCTAAAACTCTGGAATACTCACGTTTCTATTAACAAACTTGGAAAAATCTTCCACAAATATTTGTTTGATCATCTCAGCGTCTGATATCAATAATGCTGGGATTCTACCATGGAATATACTGTAAAACATAAAATAAGTTTATCAGCTGACGTTTATAATCCTGTCAATATTGGGTATAATAGAAACGCACGTGGTTGTAAATATGAATGTGAATTAAGTTTTTACCCAGAAACTCTTCCATATTTCTCTGTCATTTCTAAATCCATTCCAATTATTCCCTGTAAATACATATATATATATATATATATATATCTCACAAGTTTATTCGCTGAATTGCAGGATCGATTGCATCGTGATTTTTTAAACATTTTTTTTATATTCTTATTTTTTATATAGATCTGCGCGTATGATATATAAATGGTAAGAATAATACAGACCTTTTTGGCATAAAGTGGTAACATTCCAAGAAATCCTGGTTTTGGTGCCGGTACCCCCATCTTTTTGAAAATGTGGTGTGTCCATGTTGCGTACCTGAGAAGACAAAAAACTTTCTAAAGCGGACTGTTTTGAAGGCCAAACATTACTGACAATGCATGTCTTCTTAAGAAAAATGGAGGAGAAGGGGGAGACATTTGATGCTGTAATATCCATTGTAATTATTATCCAGGTAAAAAATAGATATTGACATACTGTATTGAATATGCATTCATTTATAAGATGAATTTGCATTAGGTCTATAATATATGGTAGGGCTACTAGTGCTTTAGTTATACATGTTTTTTTTTATGCCGCATAGTAGATTTTTGGAGTTTTTCATTTACTGATTATATTGTGATTTGGCCTAGACATTTCAAATATACCGGTTTAGAGAGGCTTATGGAACTTGTGTTTTTTTTTTAAGTTAAGGGTATCGACCGTAATTAAGTTATATATATTTTGGCTAATTTAGTCCACCATACAATTATTAAGTGTATCAACAAATATAAGTCATGTAAATATTATACCGATAAAGAATGAGAATGTCAACTACACTATTTTACTGTTATATCAATATAACATAGATAACTATACTCACAAATAACCAGCTAATACCAAGATGAGTAATATAACCAAAATATAACCAAAATAGATTGACCACGTAACCATCATGCTCTAATAATATCTTTTCACGTTGAATGTCGTTGAACGTTGAGAGTCTTCATTTATATTACATGGTTATGCGTGTAGGTTACACTTAGTGGTGCAATGGGGTTCATTAACTGTGTCACACTTTAAAAATGTTTTGTTCTTCACTTCATGTATGTCATAGGCCTACGACGGTGTAATTTGTGGTGATTGTGCACATTGCGAAATAGTATCTCTGTTCTCCTTGTGTACCGGACTCTGTTAGGCAACTGCATTCAAAGTGGCTGAGAAGAATAAAAACATTAGGCAATACGATCCATCTTAACCAAGAAATATTTATTTATATAGCACGTGCACGTTATAAAAAATGCTAAACATTGTGTCAGGTGTAGGCCTACGTTCTGAAGGGAAATTCAGAACTATTAAAGGGAATGTACGACTAGCTTAAAGTTGGATTAGTGCAAATCAAAACCCCAAAGCGCATCAATTGCAAGCCCTTTGCAATAACTTATTTTTCTTTTGAGAATAAACCGTTGTGGTACTTAGATACTAGATTGTCTCCCTTTAATTACATTTATCTTGATCTTCTCAACGAATATACCTGCCTGAATATTGACTGAATATTGTATATTATAGTAAATGTTATAAACAATGACCTCTGTCTGTAGAAATCGTCGTCCTTTATTCAGTCATATTGATAAGATATTTCACCATTATTAGTTTAAACTATATATACTAGGGCAAGTTATGACTGGCCTAGACACTTTGAATGAACATGGAGTTTCCTAACAGTGTACATATACCGACATGGATATTAGTAACGTCTTCTACAATATTGTCTATTTATTTGTAAGTATCACAGATACAATTGCATTATTTACTACAGTCCGCAATGACTATTGATTACATTACATGGTCTTCTTAAGATCATGCTGACTCGACAACCCCTATCCCAGAGTCTAATCAGGTGTGGAGCACAGCCATTCTTACATTTGATCCAATGGATTATGAAATGTGACTGGATAAATAAAAAAACACATAAAGTTAAGGGCATTGTCTGTCTAAATCAAAGTAAGAATGAAAAGATATAATATTACCTTAAAGGGATATGGTCGTCAAAATACAAAATATTTTCTTTATCAGCTGATACCGATACCGATATTATCACTTCTTGATCTTGACATATTGACATCCCCACGTGCAGATGTTACTGGGTTTGTGACGTCTGTGGTTATAACTTAGGGGTCGCAGTATTGGCAAGTTCTGCAAGTGACATATCCGATTCTTTACCATTCAGATTTGGCTAGAGAACTTGCTCAGAACTCTTCAATGGAGTCGATAGCGCCTGAATCCTGAGACTGGAATTATCCCCTTTCTCGGGGAAGGGAAGGCGAGGACGAAATTGGTGCTCGCCGACCACTTTTAGTCCAAATCCCCGTGCTCGCGGCGGGGATGAAATATACTCGCATTTGTGTATGGAGCGAAGTTGAGACTCCAACTCCGTCCCCGCACCAAATGCACCAAATGTCCCTGGCCGCATGAAGAAACGGACGAACACATAAAAAAATTGGGCGTCTGAGAGCGTTCTCGAAAGAAACTTTTCGTTAGATATAATTAATTGGGAAACATAGTTTGGAGCAAAGCGTATAAATATCAAATTTTTTAAATAATAAAGTGGGGGTACAATTGTGGGCGACAATCATTTTTCGTAAAAGAGGGGAGGGGGGGGGGGGGGGGGTGGTTCGCCACTGGTTCGAGCGCCACCGAATTGTGAAGAGGTTAGTAACGCCCTAATTGTGGACAGTCTATCAGTAAAGATAAAGATGACTTAGGTCATGTTACACAGTCAACATTATGTCTATATAATATTTCAGGTATTCAACATGGCCATATTCACTTTTCAAATCTCTGAAAATACCAGGCCCAAAACCAGTTCCATTTCTTGGTAACATCCATACTTTAACAAAACAGGTAAGCTGCTTACATAGAAATAAAAGACACAAACTTAGTTGACCACCATATAAATCACTTCACCAGACAAAATTAGTCGGTTTTTTTTCCAGAAAGGTCATATAACTAGCAAATCAAATTAATGGTTGGAGTAGTTAAATAGAGGAGTCTTATCTTATATTGAGAGGTACTTCTTGTACCTCCTTGCAATGCTTCGAATTACAGTACTCCGAAGTCTTATCATGGGTCGTCGTGTTCAGTATCTCTTAACGATTTGAAACAATCTTCGAGATACGGAATCGGATTTGAACAAATTTCATAAGTAGATTCAGTGGTCAATTAAAATTTCAATGAATTACTTCCCTTGAAGTAAAACGTATATAAAACGTAAGTATTTAAATTTAGACAAATGATTTTATACTGAACGTTTAAGAACGGTATTACAGTTTGAGTGATGCCTTTTATGGCGGTCAACTAAGTTCTTAATCTGATTCTGGGAACTAGGTCAGGTTGTGCTTTAGGATGTGTCGTTCTCAGTTGAAGAGTATTTGAAAATAACATATTATTCTATAAAGTCTGCCTACAGATTCAGATGTTGCAGTTTGTATTTTTGTAGGCCATCCATGATGTGAAAAAGTACCACGATTTCTATGTCTTGCTTCGTCAGTAGAATATTCAACTAAGTCAGAGATGCGGGAAACATTTCCAAGTGTAAAGGCGCATTGTAAATTATTGACGGACATTCTTTAACCATTCAAATTGTCAGAGCCTTTTACCATCTTCTTTTTAATAGGGTATGCATGTGGTGCATGGAAAATGGGTGAAAGAATTTGGTAAAGTTGTTGGGTAAGTAAACTCTTGGCATATTGGCCTATTCTAGTAGAATATTGTAAGCTGTAGTTTTGATAGATAAAAGTTGAAGTATCGCTAACACTATCTTTAAGCTATTACGAACTTCGTCTTATACTTCGTATGTATTATTTTTATTTTGTATGACGGAATGCTGCGATTTGATTGGGTTGGACCCAAACCAGAGCTCTCAACAGAAATACATTAGGGATTATTGTTTAAAGACTCTCTGGTGGTATAAGTACGCAATACCTTGACCATTGTCAAGATGTTCTTACACAAATCACCCAGATCAATAAGTGACTTAATTTAACTACACATCAAGATTTAAAAAAAATGAAATGAAATGAATGGAGTTTTACCTCCTACTTTTTTGCACCATGTGGGATAATGAAGACGGGCAACGCCATGCAGGGTGCAATGAGGGAAATTTTGCCAGGACAGCGGCATAAGCCTGCTCTTTTTCGATTTCCAACTGTCGAGGTATCTTTAACGTGCACAGCCTGTAGCACACGGGGCCTCGGTTTATTGTCCCATCCGAACGACTAGACGCTTTTTCCATGTCAGCCCCTCTTACCTGCATCACTGACAGGGGGAAACCGCGTTGAAAAATCCGAAGGTATTATCTCGACCTATGCCGGGATCGAACCCTGGACCTTCAGGTTAGTGAGCAAGCGTCTAAAGCCACCACAGCTCCATCAAGATTTAAAGATATACAGTAATCGAATTGGTTTATATAAAAAAACACATATAAAATCAATTTGAGTGATTAACCAATCAGATGACTGGAACACTAAAATCATCTTATATTAAGTATAATGCCTCAAACTATGTTTAGATTTCTGAAATGAAACGCATTTTAAGATTTTAAGACTCAAAATTCAGTGAAGTGAAATACCATAGGCCTATAACGTTTTTTTCGTTACAGATATTATGAAGGACGACATCCGTGTTTATTGATATCAGATCCTGCAATGTTAAAAGAGATTCTAGTCAAGAAATTTAATTCATTTCGAAACAGAAGGGTACGAATAATTTATGATTGTAATATACTGAGGTAGATATCCAGCTTTAATACGAGTGCAGATCTGTACTAACGTTCCAATTCTTTCAGAAGGAAAATGGAACTTTGCCGGAAAATTTTCAGAACAAAGAAACTGCCATTTTTTCCCCAAAAGATAAAAACATAGTTTCAAGAAGATCCAGATACCATCTAGTCCTTGTTCACTTGTTGATTTTTGATATGCAGAAATCTCCTTTAATTCTGAATGATCTACCAACAGGTTTTAAAAATAGCTGGTTATCCTATGGATGATGGTATTTTACAACAAACAGACAATCAGTGGAAAAACACTAGAACAACTTTAACACCAACATTTAGTTCGTCTAAGTTAAAACAGGTGAGTCTGCACGACTCTGTTCTTTCCGGGCAGATACCATTCTTATGGTAGCCCATAGATTGTATTAGAAACATGCATTGGGAACGCAATATGGTTGTATATGTAGTAATTTTAGTGCGACTGTTATAGAACTTGTTATTTGATGGGACTTTTCCCTCGTGTCCTCTTCTCGACCTCCATCAGATCGCAAATGATCGCAATTCGGTGTGACGGGGCAGTGGCGAACTCAAGAGGGCAGGGCAAAAATCTCACAACTAGGTTAGAAATTCGGGCAATCGGGGACTTGTGAATGAGAAATGATGATTGTGAATTGGGGAAAGAAGAACTTTAACGCGCTTGTCCCATACGAAACATGCCACCCCCTTCGAATAGCAACACTGATAGGTCGGATAAAGCATGTTGAATAATCTTTTGCATGTATCAATAGACGAATCTTGGTTATTTGGCATGCTTTTTACGATATATTGAAAGCAATATGTATTTCAGATGTCCAGAATTATAGAAGACTGTGTTGATGATCTGATACAAAATTCAGACAAACTGGTAGAAGCAGGTCAGAATATCAATCTAAAAAAGTAAGATATTTGTTTTGCTTGTTTATTTAATTACCCCCCCCCCCCCCCCCCCCC